TTTTTTTTTTTTTTTGGGGCGCGAGAAAACAAAAAAAAAAACCCCTTTTTTTTTTTTTTGGGCAGGCCGAGCCCGGCGGGTGCAGAAGAAGAAAAAGCAAGAGAGGGATCGGCTGGCCCCCCCCGCTTTTGGTGGGGGGGGGGGGCCAATGAAAGACAACCAATGCTACAGTGCTTGACAGTGGGGGAACTGTGACCCCACAGCTTGACGCCATCTACGCATTCGCCACTTGGACATTATTGGATGCCGGAACCACCACTAGGCCGCTCCCAGGTTAGCGCTCTCACCAGATTGAGCGCATGGGCGGTCCTGCGGTGTTGCGGTGTCGCCGGACAGTGCGGGAGTGACGCTTGCGGCCTGCAGGCTGAGATGAGGCCCCTGTCTCCCCTGCCAGCCCTTCCACCCTCACAGTGTCCACTGAAAGCGTCGGCCCCCCCTGGTTCTCCTTCGTCAGTGAGTTCCTGTCCGCACTACGCTACGGACGCTTCGCTGCCCTTGTCCAGTGTCTGGTATCTATCTACCTATCTTCTTTGTTCATTTTGGCTCGAGGCCTCTTCAAGTCTGTCTCTGGACAGTGTCCGCCGTGAACCGTGCACAGGGGGGCTGAATGTGGTCTCCAGATTTATACGATCAACTGACCAAGTGGAACCCCAAGAACGCAGGCTGCTTGCCTTGTTCTGTATACGTGTATGGATGGCTTCAATGCGTCAACCGCCACTGCGAGATACCTGTGCCTCCCTATTCTATTGCACACAGCTAAGGTACCTACTGCGGCGCAACGGCAGGCAGGCTGACTGACGCCTGAAGTGGGCAGACGGGCAAAGAAAGGCAGTGACTGGCACTGGCACTCTGGAGGATCCGAACGCAGTCGTGTGATTCATAGTGGATTCCAGCCTGCCGCTGCTTACGATCCCATCTGTACCTGCACCATGCCAGGGCCCAACAGCATCCGAAAGCACCAGGTGTGGGTGGCATGTTGCGTGAGTTAGTCAGGCAGGCATTCATTTTACTTCACTCGTCGTGCTTCACGCTTCACAGTGAGAGTAAGAAGCCCGTTTCGCTTGCACCCGCATCCAATCCCATCCTGTTCAGGGGGACGAAAACAATAAGCCCTGGCCTGCCCTGAGAAGTCGGGGCGAGGCGCCCTTAGCGGAAACTATGCGTGTTTCTCATTCCATGCGACATGCGACGGCCTTGCCTGGCCGCCCACAGTGTCACCTTCGATGTCTCGGATTGGCACCACAGTTGACCCCCCAAAAGCCCACCGACCTGGAAGACCCCCTGCACTGTCGGACGCCTGGGATGTCAGGCCGCCATGTGCCCCTCGGTCTTGCCTCTCACGAATGATTGTGGGGTGATTTGTGCAACCCACGGTCCACTCACTCCTGCTGGACCCAGGTTGCACAAGACAGACGGGCAGGAAGAAGGCATCAATGCATCTATCGAGGCGGGGGCGACCCATACAGTTGACGTGGAGGCGAGCGAAGAACGAGACGGCAAAGCTGGAT